ACTTCAACTCATAACTGCCTTGCTTCGCAACAGAAATTTTTATACAGGCAGTCCTCGACTTAACGACCAATTGTGGTCGTAAGCCGAGAACTACCTGTATGTTGTTAGAAGCAGTTTCCTTTTTAGAAGCCTACTTGCTTTTTAAGGTTTTAGGGTTGGGTCCCATCCCTCAAGAGATGTGGTAGGAAAGTCAGAGTCTGTTTGGTTGCTACTCATGGAGATGGAAATGAATCTCTAAGAGAGGCCAAGTTTTGTTTCTTCACTATTTTTGTCCTGGCAGACAAATACTTCCTTATTCCAGTAAATATTTAGCCTTTCAGCAGGTGTCCTGCTATTTCATTTTAATGCTTCCTTTACAGCCGAAGTGTTATTTATGCTTTTTTACTTGTGAATTTGATTTGTTCTTTTTTTCTTTCCCCGCTGTTTTTAATGTTCTTTTTCATAGCTGTTTTGAGCTTACGTTCAGTGGAAAAACAATAAATAAAACCTCCAAACTTGCTGATGTTTAGATGATCAGACTTTTGTCTGATCTGGCATTAACAGCATTCACAGTCAGGGAAAACATTATTTCATCTCTGTCTTTTTTTCCTAAATCGACAGTTTTGAAGTTCAGGCAATATTCACGCTAAGCAATGTTTGAGAAATCCCAAGTTAAGCAGCAGTGATTATTTTCAGCTGGCAATGTTGAACTTTTTCCTTAAAAACTATCTTTATATGAAGCACAGTGCGCACACGTTGAACACTGATTCAGAAATAGTGCTAAATTTTACATCCAAATGTTTAGGAAGCAGCGTGGTGATTGGTTAATCAGTAGTCCAGTAATAAAAACTTTTGTTCATATCCCAGGTTGCATCATTAAAAGTTCCCTCTCTATCTCCCTTAATTATTATACCACATTCAAGTGAATACATTTCGAATTATAAAACTCAAATCAATTAATACATTTGTCAATATAATTTTTACTTATACCTATCCAAGTCCTGTTTTTTAAGTGTTACCTAATTTCAATTACAGTGTTCCAATTTAGCCTTTAATATCCATAATATTTAGACTTCGGGTAACCCACATTTCCCTTATTTCATTACAAAAAATAGTTATCGTGTCTAAAACATACATATTATTCAGCTAATTACATTCTTACACTATGTAAAATTGAAAAATTAATAAAACTTGTTTAAAAAAAAAGAAAGAGTGCTAAAGATTCTCCCAAACAGCCTATTTTTTTAAAACAAAATTTTAAAAAAAATATCATTTTAGCCATGCCTCTTTTTTTCACTTCAAGAATTGACCCTTTAAAACAACTACATCTTTGTCGACGCTTGTAGGGAAGCCTGAAAAAAAAGACAGGCTGCTTTAATGAGCGGAGAGAGGCGGTAGCTTCGGCCTTAAACGATATTCTTACCACGTCTTGAAAAGGTTATCAATTTTTTTTGCAGGCAGCCAGATGTTTTAGATGAAATAATACACTATGACAACCTATTGCTTATCAAGGAGACAGTGTTAACGCCTCTTTAATCGAGGCATTACATCTTGCCCACGTTATGGCGTTCAGATTTTATGAATAATGCCCCAATCGAGTAAAATTTATAACTTGTCACTTCGGGTTGACGCATATTAGAAGCTTCCGTGTTTTGTATAATTCCATAGACCTGAATTACTTTCCAAACGTGGCCTTAACAATGATGCCGAAACTGTGGAACAGATTGCCTCGAAAAAAAGCAGAGATAATTTAAGAATTAAAAGGACAATTTCTTGCTTTTTTTTTTTTTTTTTTTACCACGATACGCTTCTAAAAACCCGTTCGTTTTGGGATGTCTTCATTTTGACGTACAAATAAGGAAGCCTCGCCATCGAATCTGAATACCGAAAATCAAAATTAATTTCAGGGGGAAAAAAGGGGGGGGGAGGAAGAATATTTTTTTACTCTTCTAAGGCGTCGTTCTTTATTCTAACAAAGCGGGGGAAAAAATACGTTCCAAGCATTCTTGGATTGTTCCAAGTGTCATTAAAAGGCAAGGGTTAACCACCAGCTAAGGATGGAAGAATGCGGATTGCAGATGAATGCAGATGAAGGAGTTATGCGCCGTACATAATGCTAGAACAGGTGGTTTGGAAGGAGACCAGAATGTTCAATAGCGGACACAATTGCTGTTTTGCATCTCCAAATAGTGAGCTGTATTTATACTAGCTTTTTTTAAAAAAAATAAAAATAAAAATAAATCTTTTTTATCTGGAGCTAAAATTATTATTTGGCTTAAATTGAGGGTATATTTTTGTATCTGAAAGCCTATGCAACTAGAAAAGTTCATTCTTAATAGGCCTCTGAATAAGTTATACATCAGCAGGAATGCTTTCCTTCCTTCCTCCCTCTCTTCCTTCCTTCCTTCCTTCCTTCTTTCCTTTCTCCTTTCCTTCCTCCCTCCCTTCCTTCCTTCCTTCCTTCTTCCTTTCCTTTCTCCCTCCCTCCCTTCCTCCTTTCCTTTCTCTCTCCTTCCCTCCC